ACACCTTTATGTTTTAACTATTTTATTAGATAAAACACAGAAAGAACTGTCTATACAATTCTAATGGGCCTGATTTCAATCTTTCCAATTTCTTTTGAACCAGTTCAGTGAGTTTTAATCCCACTATTAAATTGAAACTGCTACTGTCAAGGTCATTAATGACCACCACGTCGTCAATTCCAAGGGTCAGTTCTCAATCCTTATATTACCTGATCTACAGGCTGCAACGGACTCAGTCACTGCAACCTCCTTAAGGCACTATCTTCAGTTGGCCACCCTTCTGGTTCTTTTCTCACTGACTGACTGCTTCCTTTCAGTCCCCACTGCTCTTTCTGCCTCTTTTCCCTGAGACCTAAACACTGGATCTCTTTTCCTTTCTATGTATCATCACTTCCTTGGTGATTTCAGTCTCCTGTTTTTTAAGTAATATGTACAAGCTGCTGACGCCCATGTTCATTAAGATAGGCTAATGAGTCTCTGCTAAGAAATTCTTCGTGATTTACTGCAACAAAAACTTATTTCTCCTTCTTTCTACATGACCACCAGGGGAAGGCAGGAGTGTGGGGTGGAAAGTTCTGCTGCACCTAACTCAGGCACCAGGCTGTCTGGGTGTCCTGGAACACGTGTCTTCCTCGGTTCAGTTCAGTTGCTCAGTCGTGTCAGACTCTTTGCAACCCCATGAACCGCAGCACGCCAGGCCTCCCTGTCCATCACCAACTCCCGGAGTCCACCCAAACACATGTCCTTGGTGGCCACATGGTAAAGAGAAAGAGTGTTGCAGGCTCACTCACTAGTATTTAACATCTTTAATTTTCACTCTTAGCTCATGAAGCTGAAGCAGCCAAATGGGTTTGCCCCATAGCAAGGAAACTGGGAAGCAGAACCTTTCTTCTGCCCAGAAAGAGGGGGCCACTGCCTGGTAATGAGTACTTGTTTTGTCTACCACAGCTGTAATTTTTCTCCAACCTCAACCTCAACTCTGATGTTCTGACTCATGTTTCCAACTGCCCATCTGACGTTTATACTTGGATATCTAATACAAATTTCAAAATCACAATGTCTAAAACTGAGCTCCTGATACTTTCCATTTCAAATCTCCTCTTTCTACAATTAATGGCATCTCTGGCAATGGCATCTTGACCTTTTCAGTTGCTCAGACCAATGGCCTAAGATAATCCTTTTCTTTTTCTCACAAGCCACATCCAATCTTTTAGCAAATTCCGTTGGCAATTGCTTCACAGCAGATCCAGAACATAACCTTTTCTCTCCAACTACCCCCTAAGAGAGATTACTGAAAAGCTCCCACTGTTCTCAGCCGCTACCATTCTTTACTGTGTGAGTGGAGGACGCTTCTGAGAAATCTCTGATGCTTCACACCTTGTTTCTGAGGGGAAGTGAAACTATTTACAAGGTTTACAAGGTCCCAGACAGTCTGCTTAGCTTTTTCTTTTTTTTCTTAATTTTTGTTGGAGGACAGATGCTTCATAATGTTATGTTAGCTTCTGCAGTACAGTACAGTGCACCAGTTACACATACACACACAGTCACTCTTTTTAAGACTCTTTTCCCATATAAGCCATTGCAGAGCATATAGTAGAGTTCCCAGTGCTATACAATGGGTCCATATTAGTTATCTATTCTGTATATAGTAGTGTGTATATGTCAACCCCAATCTCCCAGTTTCTCCCTCCCTGCCTTCTCTCACTCATAACCATAGGTTTTGTTTCTACATTTGTAACTCTATCTCTGTTTTGTAAATAAGTTCATTTGTACCTTTTTTTTTTTAGATCCCACATATAAGCAATAGTATATGATATTTGTGCATATCTGTCTGACTTAATTTCACTCAGTATGACAATCTCTAGGTCCCTTTCCTGCCTCCTGAGAAACCTGTATGCAGGACAAGAAGCAATAGTTAGAACTGGACATGGAACAATGGACTGGCTCCAAATTGGGAAATGAGTATGTCAGGGATGTATATTGTCACCCAGGTTATTTAACTTCTATGCAGAGTACATCATACAAAATGCCAGGCTGGATGAATCACAAGCTGGAATCAAGATTGCACGGAGAAATATCAACAACCTCGGAAATGAAGATGATACCACTTTATTGGCAGAAAGAGGCTCTTGATGGAAGGTGAAAACGGAAGAGTGAAAAAGCTGGCTTAAAACTCAACATTAAAAACTAAGATCATGGCATCTGGTCCTATCACTTCATGGCAAACAGCTGGAGAAAATGTGGAAATAGTGTTATATTTCATTTTCTTGGGCTCCAAAATCAATATGGATGGTGACTGCAACTGAGAAATTAAAAGATACTTGTTACTTGGAAGAATAGCTATGACAAAGCTAGACAGTGCATTAAAAAGCAGAGATATGACTTTGTTGACAAAGCTTCATATAGTTAAAGGTATGGTTTTTCCAGTAGTCACATATGGATATGAGAGTTGGACCATAAAGAAGGCTGAGTGCCGAAGAATTGACACTTCCAAACTATAATGCTGGAGAAGACTCTTGAGAATCCCTTGGACTGCAAGGAGATCCAGTCGGTCAGTCCTAAAGGAAATCGATCCTGAATATTCATTGGAAGGACTGATGCTGAAGCTGAAGCTCCAATAGTTTGGCTCCCTGATGTGAAGAGCTGACTTACTGAAAAAAAACCCTGATGCTGGGAAAAATTGAGGGCAAGAGGAGAAGTGGGGGACAGAAAATGAGATGGTTGGATGGCAGCACTGACTCAAAGGACATGAGTTTGAACAAACTCAGGGAGACAGTGATGGACAGAGAAGCCTGGCGTCCTGCAGTTCATGGGTCACAAAGAGTCGGACACAACTGAGCAACTGAACAACAGCAACCATTTTGCTATTGCGTTCTTTTTTATGACTAGTTGTCATCCTTGATGCCATCGCCTACAAATATCCCTTTGCTCATTCTGCTCCACCCACAATGACTATTATGCCTTTTGTTTTGAATGTTAGAGGTACATCCTGACTTAGGGTCTTTGAACTTACTATTTTGTCTGAGCATTCTCTTTATTCCTCCCTCAGTCTTTTTCACATCTTTATGTGAAACATTTCTTGTCCTCTATTAATATTTAAAATTGAAATTCTATCCCAATCCTAATTAATCTGTCTACCACATCATTATTTTTATAGGACTTATTATAGTCTAATATACTACATGTTATACTATCTATTATGGTTTTACCTGTATAATTAATCACAGGATATAGCTTCAAAAGGGCATTGCCAGATTTGTTAATCCTGCATCTCCAATGCTGAGAAATTTATCATTAATTTGTATTAAACACAAACAGGTAATCAGGAAACAGCTGAGGAGGAGATGGATAGTAAAGATGTTAATGAGTTTGAATTATTAGGGAGGGAAATGGAAATTACAGATAAGAGTCATCAATGACTTAAAATATATTTTAAAGGGAAAATTATATTAATTTTGCATAAGTCCAAAAGGAATCTGTTATCAATAACAATAGAAGCATTTGGCCCTAAACTCTATTCCCCTGTGCTCTTGATTCTTTTTCCCCAAATCAGTGTTTCTGCATATGAGACATCAGAAGCCACTTTGCTATGTGGTTTTTCAGCATCTCATAAAAGTAGAGCTAGGTCCTTCTCACACTAATTCCTAAAATTAAAAAAAAAAAATCATTTGAGAAGCTCATGCTAATTCAGATCAGTGCAGAAAAAAAATGTTTGCTTTACAATAAGGTCTCTAAATCCCTGTCCACCACAACTTCTCTCTCTTTTTTTTCCAACTACTTAATTTTCATACTGATCTGCTAACTAGTTTTTCAGAAACAGTACAAGCATTTATTAGGATTATGATTATTATAACTTTTTTCTTCAATATTAGCGAACTAATATTGAAGAAAGACCTTTGCTTTACACACACATTCTCCTGGGAAACTTTAAATCTTGGTGCATAAATTCACAAGGAGATCAAACCAGTCAATCCAACAGGAAATTAATCCTGAGTATTCATTAGAAGGGCTGATGATGAAGCTGAAGCTCCAATACTTTGGCCACCTGATGCAAAGAGCTGACTCATTAGAAAAGACCCTGATGCTGGGAAAGATTGAGGACAGGAAGAGAAGTGGACGACAGAGGACAGAGGATGAGCTGGTTGGATGGTATCACTGACTCAATGGACATGAGGGTGAACAAGCTCCCAGAGATGGTGAAGGACTGGGAAGCCTTGCATGCTGCAGTCCATGGGGTCACAAAGAATCAGACTGAGCGACTGAACAACACCAACATGAACAAAACAAACCAAAACAAAAAAACAGTAAATGAGAATATTGTACAATCACACAATCAATGAGAGTTCAGTTACTTAGGTACTTTGGTCAACTCCTTGTAAGACAGAAAAAGCAAAGAAGTCTCATAGAATTGCTGTTAACAAGGGGAAAAAAAAGGATCATTACTTATTATAGATAGCTTACTCTCTACTCGTATCAGCAGAAATTCAAAATCCAATAATCTGGTCACATTACTTTATTTTGCAATGAGGTCAATCCATCATTAACCATCATTCATAATAAGATTTTACTTTTCAGAAATGACATCAAACTCTATGACATAAAAGCAATTTAAAAAGGAGAAAGATACAAATTCTGAAGTGACTTAAGAAGCTTTCTGGAAATTATACTGTATTTCTGAATTCAATTTATAATTTTCTGCTATAACATCTAGAAATGGGATATGCCCAGAGTTACTAAAATAATTATGTCATACATAAAGGTGTTAACTCTCAGACACTGAAATCATAGTTTTCTTTTACTGAGTAGCAAACTAAACAACATGCATATTCCTTTTATATTTATGTCAATAGAGGGAGAATGAAAACATTTCTTTTAAAGAAGAATTAAAAATGAGCACTGTTGCAATCCTGTGTTTAAAAGAATCCACGTTTTTCTCTCTTTGTTGGAGATCCATACAGTTAGATTTATAAATGTTCCCCACTGCTGAATTAAATACTCACAGTTATTCTTTCATCTTTATCATCCAGTGGAGAGCCATCTTTCTTCCATGAAATGGTGGGTTCGGGATGGCCTCGTGGGGGCTGGCATTCCATCACGGCAGGCTCTCCCACGGCCACCATGACATCGGAAGGGTTTTGTCTGAAGTCATCCCGTAGTACTGTAGAACAAGATTAAATCATTACAGTCAATGGTGATATATACAGCCCTTATCTCTGAACTTCACAAAGGAGATATTTATAGTAAATGACTACTAACAGCTATCTCAATACATCTTGGAAAATCTATATCTACTTACAGACGTATGCAGTTTAATAATGATATCTGGCCTTACACACACAATGGGGATAATTTGATATTCTTCATAGGCCAATGGGCAAGTGTTTTCTGCTGCCTAGTGCTCTGACAGCATCTGGCTTATCTCTTACTTGCATTTCTTCTCTGCCTACTGCCCACATTTTCTCATCCATGTACTAATGAATATAATTGAACCCTCCTTTTACTTACATGACACATTGGGGTGATGCTTTCTATTATTAAATGAATACATATACATGCAAGCAAAAATATTAAAGTAAAATATACTTCCAACATGGATCTGATTGAGGTATTTTAAAGATATTTCAAACTAGTGTATTAGAGTATCTGATCACTATAATTTAAATATGCCCATTATAAAAACTTTAGACATATTTGCAAAATTACTAAATTCAAAATACTGTGTGTTTTTCCATTATCACTGAGTAAGTGAGGGGCAATGTTAAAAGGCAGCAGTGATGACACCAGCATTGCTACCAACAATGTCATTTTGGAGTTCTGTACTTTTCAGTTTTTGTGGATTTGGTAGGGGGTACATATTAATAATAGAAGAAAACAACAAAAGCAGAAAGACTAGAGACCTCTTCAGGAAAACTGGAAACATCAAGGGAGCATTCCACCCAAAGATGGGCACAATAAAGGATAAAAATGGAAGAGACGTAGTAGATGCTGAAGGGGTCGAGATGGAAAGAATACATGGAAGACATATATAAAAAAGATCTTAATGAACTGGATTACTAAGGTGGTGCAGTTAGTCATCCAGAGCCAGACATTCTGGAGTGAGAAGTCAAGTGAGCCTTAAGAAGCACTGCTGTTAATAAAGCTAGTGAATGTGATCGAATTCCAGCAGAACTATTCAAATCCCTAAAGGATGATGCCATCAAGGTTTTGCATTCATTATGTCAGCAAATCTGGAAGAAACAGCAGTGGCCACAGGACTAGAAAAGGTCAATCCTCATCCCAGTTCTCAAGAAGGGTAGTATCAAAGAATGTGCTAACCATCAGACAATCACTCATCTACCCTGCTAGTTAAGAGAATGCTTAAAATCTTGCATGCTAGGCTTCAGCATTATGAGAACCAAGAACTTACAGATGTCCAACCTGGGTGTAGAAAAGAAAGAGGAACTAGAGATCAAACTGCCAACATTTGTTGGATTATAGAGAAAGCAAGGGGAATTCAGAAAAACATCTATCTCTGTTTCATCGACTATGCTAAAGCCTTTGACTGTGTGGATCATGACAAACTACCCTTAGAGAGATGGGAATACCTGTCTTCTGAGAAAGCTGTCTGCGGGGCAAGAAGCAACAGTTAGAACCCTGTATGGAACAACTGACTGGTCCAAGATTGAAAAAGGAGTATGATAGGACTGTCTGTTGTCACCCTGTTTGTTTAAACAATACACTGAGCACATCATGAGAAATGCTGGGTTGGATGAGTTACAAGTTAGAGTCAAGATAGGCAGGAGAAATATCAACAACCTCAGATATGTGAATTATACCACTCTAATGGCAGAAAGCAAAGAGGAATTAATAATGGCAGAAAGCAAAGAGGAATTAAAGAGCCTAAACTAAAGGAACTGAAGATGAGAGTAAAGGAGGAGAGTGAAAGAGCAGGTTTAAGACTAAATATTAAAAAAAACTAAGATTATGGCATCCAGCCCCATTACTGCATGGCAAATAGAAGGGAAAAAGGTGAAAGAAGTGACAAATTTCCTCTTCTTGGGCTCCAAAATAACTGTGGACGGTGACTACAGCCATGAAATCAGAAGACAATTGCTTCTTGGCAGGAAAGTGATGACAAACGTAGACAGTATGTTGAAAAGCAGAGACATTACTCTGCCGACAAAGGTCTGTATAATCAAGGCTATGGTCTCAGTGGTCAGGAACGGTTGTGAGAGTTGGACTGTAAAGAAGCCAGGACACCAAAGAATTGATGCCTTCAAACTGTGGTGCTGGAAAAGACTCCTGAAAGTCCCCTGGACAGCAAGGAGATCAAACCAGTCAATCTTAAGGGAGATCAACCCTGAATATTCACTGGAAGGACTGATGCTGAAGCTGAAGTTCCCGTATTTTGGTTGTCTGATGTGAACAGATGACTCATTGGAAAAGTCCCTGATGCTGGGGAAGATTGAGGGCAGAAGGAGAGAAGAGAGCATCAGAGGATGAGATGGCTGGAAGGCACCTCCAATGCAATGAACATGAACTTGGGCAAACTTCAGGACACGCTGAGGGACAGGGAGGCCTGGCGTTCTGCAGTCCATGGGGTCACAAAGAGCTGCACATGACTGGGTGACGAAGCAACAACAACAAAATATTATTTTATTTAATTCTCAAACGTGCTCAGAATGAGAGATATTATCAACATCATTTATATTACTAAACATATTTTTCAGAAGAGGAAACTGTTCATACTATAAGCTCAAATGGACACTAATATAATACTAACAAACTCTGAAACAGCATTATTCAGTTTATGATTATTGGAATAAAATGTGGAAATCAGACATGTATTTGAAAAAGAGTTAATAAGGTATAACTGTCCTCATTATCTTGTTAACATCAAGAAATCATAATTTTTTGGCATTAGTCTGAAATCACAGCTCTGCTGCTTACAGAGTAGGTAAACTCAAACACATTATTTAATACTTCTGTTTCCATATTTACAAAGCAGGCATGCAGATGCACACTTCAATGATAAGTCCAAAAATGTTAGCTACCTTTCTCCCATTTTCCCCCAGTGTGTAATAAAAGGTAACTAATTTTAGTAGTTTAACCTGGTACTCAAAATGTTCATTGGTATGTTAAGTACCTAGATTTGAAATGATAAATATTATTTATCTTTAAAAATCTATTGAGTTAAATATCTGATACTACAACTCTGTACTGGAATGAATGTCTTTCCATTTCAATGGCTTTTTAAAATATTTTCATGGATGAAGTACGACAATGAAAAAAAAACCTATGATTTCAAAAGTCTCCGTTAAATTTTGGTTTCAAACCCACAAATAAGCTTAGAGGCTTACAAAATCCTAATATTTTATTCTTGCCATTCTCTACTTTTCCCTCCTTGATGCCAGCTAACTATGTGCATACATCTGAGTAAGCCATAATATCCACTCAAACGAAACCATTTTTTTCACCTATCTATTAAGAAAACCTGGGCACAACAGAACAATATTAACACTTGGAAATACCACTTAAGGAGGAGACTTGTCTCTCCATCTTTGGAAAGAAGAGTAAAAGGAAATATGATCACACCACACTGCTGTAAGTCTAACTTCAGTAGATACAATATTTAATTGTTATAAAATATCTATTATATAGAGACAAAGATAAACCATGTTGAACTGAAACTTGCAGCTCCTGTTAGCACATTATAAATGAACAGAGTACAAAGACTTCTACCATCCATGAACTTACGTTACTATTATATGTTAAGAATATGCCACAAATAAAATGTAAGGTTTATAAAAAAAGCAAATGAATTGACCTTAACAAATAGCATGTGCTTTTGCTTGATCACATTATTAATCTAAGATAAGACTTCTGAAAAAATTTAAAACTCTTGATACATGCAAAAGTAACATAATTTTCAAATATGTACAACTTTTCTGCTTGGTGAGCTAAAACCCAATTTAGTAACACTATATTTTATTTACAAATTGAGATCATATCTCAAATAAACCAATGAATAATAAAATGTCTTTCAAAAATATCAAAGGTCTAAGTCAGATAAATCAAGGTTTTTTTTTCCATTTACTATGTTATTTGGGTTTTTACAGTATATTATGAAAAGCTAACAAAATGTAATCCATTAAAGATCGTTGCTTAGATAATGCTCATGTAATTATTTTTGCAGCTGTAAAACATAAAACTCCAGCACTGCCTATGGCTACAGACAACATTGCATAAAGTTATGAAATTGTTTTTTTCTCTCTTCTATAAAAGCAACTTTTCTTCTTACTTGTCCTGAACATTTCCTTTTGGGGGAAAAAAAAGAAAGTACGTGTCACATTATAAAATTATATGAACTTTTAGTTAAATTATCCAATTTTCTTAATTCATGTGTGTATTTAAGTGATTAAAATAAAAACTGAATTCAAGTGATCGGCAATGTTTTGGCAGAAAAATCAGTCATATCCATGAGTAAAATAAAAAATAGATATTTCTTAAAAAAATCTCCTTTTCTTTAACTTCTCTATTGATTGAAGTGTATATTTTCAAATGTTTTTTGACTTGAATAGTATGAAATTTTAAAATATGGGACTAACTTTTGAAAACAAGATTTAATATCAATTTAAATATTAAAAGAGAGTAAATAGCATATATAGTAGATTCAAGTATATATCACTTAAAAACTGTTAAATCCCAGTTCCGTCTAATTATTATATGTCTTCCATATTTATCTAATTGTTTTATGTTTACAGGTTGGTACATGTCATTTGGCTCAACTCCTTTTCATTTTTCCTCATTCTGTTAAATTGGGGAAAAACAAAAAAAAACATAAGCTTCACCGAATCTTTGTCTCTCAGAAAACTTTTTGGTTTAAAAAGAATGACCAGTTAAAAGTTTATTCTTTAAAACAAAATAAAACAAAACATATAATCATTTTTCTTTTTGAAAAGCCATACATCAATTGTAATGCAGTTCTCAGATTAACTGAATATGTTTTCAGAAAAAGGTTCTAAAATTCAGTGGTGACTTGGCAACCTATTTGGCTAATATTGAAAAGACACATGGCAAAATGAAAAAATAAGTTAAACAGAAACTTTAAGTATTATGGAGATTTTAATATTTGCAACACACACATTGTGGGAAATCTTAGAACTGAATGAAGCATAA